TGTGAGAGATTATATTTTGCAGATAAACCTCCTGATATGCAGATGCATTTTGAAATTATTGAAAAGATGGATGTGAGTTGATGCTGTGATGAGATGACCATATATACTGTATATTTTGTAATATTTTTGAAACCAGAAACTCTGTATGTGAGAGTTCATTCTCATTCAAATGGTAACTGGACTGGATGCTGCTGATTGAATTCTAAAAGCAGCAGCAATGCTTTTAGCTGAATGGCCAAACTGAGGTATCTGTTTTTCCTTTGGACTTGGAAGTTAAAATTCAAAAGTTGGAGGCATAAATTTGGAAAAGAAAATATCATGGTATGCTTTCTGGGGCAATAGTTAGAATATGTCCTTTTTTTTAAGTGGTACGGCAGAAGTTATATGAAAAAGGGGGTAATTGTTTTGATAGTGTAATGACTATCTTGTCCTTCTCTCTATTTACTCCGGACCTTTGCAAGCAGCCGGAGATTTGTGCCGGCGACGGCGAAAAGAGAAGGAGAAGCAGGTCGGCAACGAAAATCATTTGCTCCTCTCGTTTTGTTTTCTGGCAACGTCTTGATATAACAACCTGAAAAACAGGAGGAGAAGTAGTTTCAGGTTCCAGCGATGTCCGGATTTGCCTTCTCTGGAGTAAGAAACGACTCATCGCCTGCGGAAGGAGATCCTGCCGGCCGGAATGCTGGCGATGTGATCCATTTAGCTTCTGGAAGGCGGATGGTAGCAGTAGGGGCAGAAAAGTACTCTCATAATTTCCCATTACACTTATCTACAATAACCAGGCCTGTCTCAGTCAAATAAAATTACTCTTCCTTCCTCTTTAGTATATTTAATTTTATTTTTTTTATTTTTTTATATAAATTTTAAATAAAAATTTAATAACTTACATGAATAATAATTGAAAATGTTTTTTCTTGTATAAAATTCTTGTTAAATATTTTAATTTAATCAAAAAAAATTAATTATGATTTATATAATATATTCAATTTTTATTTAAAATTAATTTTTTTAAATTAAAAAATTAAATTAAAACCATTAAAAATAAACTAGTAGTATATTTTTTTTTTTGAACAATGAAAAATTTTTTTGGGAAGAGGGAACTTGGGATTAAAACTCAAGTCTTGATAGTCTTAAACACATCATGCAAAAAGGGACCAGTAGGTCGTCAAGTACTGAACAACTAGTAGTATTTTTTACCTTAACTTTTAGCATAAAATATTATATATTGTCCTAACTTTTTATTTAAATAAAAAATGATTCCTAACCTTTTTCAAAATCACCAACCCCAATCCTATCATTAGTTTTTTTTTTTTTTTTTTAACATGGGAGAATTTGGGAATAGAGGAATTTTTTTCAAGTAATAAGTGGGGTAGAACCCTCTACCTATTTAAGGCCAAGTTCTTAGATGAATCAATAAACTCAATGGATTGGTTTCTATAATTAGGTACTTACTTATGTTTCCAATAGAAATCCTAATTGGAATCTTATAAAATTCAAGGCCATCGGGTTATGAAGTTCAAGTCTAGTTAGGGATCATTTTTAGTTTAATTAAAAGGTTAAAATAATATTTAATACTTACGATAAAGATTGAGCACTAAATTTTGTATTTACCTTTTTTTATTTAATGTGAGATTTCATATTTTTTGAATCTTTTATTTTACCTCAACTCGAGTGAATGAATTCGCTAGTTTGATTACATTTTAATATTAGTATGA